AGGAAGTGGTAATGACCAGGAAGGGACTAAAAGGACCCTTCTGAGGTTCTAAAAATGTTCTTTTTTCTTGATCTAGGTGGTGGCAATCACAGAGGTACATGGATGTATGTGTATATGTGTGCGTATATTAAATTTACCAACAGCCCACTTAAGATTGTATACTTTAAGTTATACATAAAAGAAAAGGTGATTGGAATCTCAAATAAATCCACAAAAATTTGTTCAACTTTTTTTTTTTGGTCTTAATATTACACAACCTATTTAACCTCTCCCTAAAATGGTGTTTCTACACAGACACACACAGACACACACACATACATACAACTCACTATTTTTGAGCAACTAAGGATACATTTTGTTGTCAATTGCATGCTTCATCAAGACTCCCATACAAAAGGCAGTAGTACTGACTTGGGTTCTGCAAAATACCAACTGGGCCTCCAGTGATGGGAGTGGCAGAAGTCACACATACCATCAAGCCATTCCTACCTATAATCAGCTTATTTCTTCAGCATCCTGAATCTCACAGCTCTTTTAGTAGCTCTTTTTCCCCTCTGCATGACTGGTTCAAGGAACACTGTGGTTAAAGAATTGGGCTACTAACCATAAGTTCGGTGGTTTGAACCCACCAGACATTCTGTGGGATAAAGATAAGGCAGTCTGCTTCCGTAAAGATTTACAGCCTTGGAAACTATCTGTGGCAGTTCTCTGTCCTATAGGGTCACTATGAGTTGGAATGAACTCAGTGGCAGTTTTTGTTTTTCTTTTTTTACAGGTGTTATATGTGTGATTTCAAATGGGCTTAAAACACATTTGGTAGCCTACTAATTTTGGGGCCTCCTGATATGAACAAGAGAAAAAGGGAGAACCCTGACTCAGTGTAGTAAGCTGAGAAATGCCTTTGGAGATCCTGAGCACTGTCCAATGGAACGTTCAATGATGAGGGAGATGTTCTCTATTTGTGCTGTCCAACATGGTAGCCACCACTCATACATGTCTACTGAAAACTTCAAATGTGGCTAGAATGAATGAGAAACTGAATTTTTAATTTTTTTCATTTTAATTTAAATATGTGGTTTGTGGTTACTATCTTAGACAGCAGTTCAAGAGAAAACTCAGAAAAACTAGTATAAAATTCTACCTCCAATATCTCCTTCAAAAAAAAATTTAAAAACCCACCAATGTTCATGAGTAATATATCAAAAAAGCTCAATGTATTTATTCTCTATCTTAACTCTCCAAAGTTAAAATCTAACAGACAAAAACAAGATGAAGTTGTTTACCAGGGGTGAGAGGGGAAGGGAGGAAACACTGCAAAAATAAAAAATAAAATAAAATAAAAGATGAAGATAATTACTAATTCAAAATAATTTTTAAATAGGTAAATAAAGTAATGCTAAGAAATCCACAAAGTTCCTTATGACAACTACATACCACTCATAGAAGCTATTTTTGAAATCAAGGAGAAAGTGTCAGCCAAATCAAAGTATCTAAAGAGTTTTAGTAGTATGTTCTCAAACTAAGTAACTTTATCTGATCATGCCAATGAACTGAAAAGCTTGTCACCTGGTCGGAGAGTGTAAGTGGAGAAGAATATCCAATCCTACAGCCATAGGTAAAGCAAGATATCTCGGCTGTCAATTCGAGTACATGGGCCAAAGGCAAGTAGCCAATATATGTGTCTTTTGGTCTAAAACAAAAGAGAAATATTTTGAAGATTTTATTTTTTATTGTTGAGAATATACACAACAGAACATACACCAAGTCAACAATTTCTGCATGTACATTCCAGTAACAATGATTACATTCTCTGAGCTTTGCAACCATTCTCACCTTCCTTTTCTGAGTTGTTCTTCCCTCATTAACATAAAGTCATCAACCCCTAAGTTTCCTATCTAACCTTTCAAGCTGTTGTTGTCAATTTGATTCCAAAAGATAGTTCTTAAGAGAGCACAGTGCTCGAGGCAGATTTTAAGAGAAACATTTTAATCATTCTGAAAAAAAAAGGCATTTTAAATTATAAACATCAGTAACTTTTGCATTTTAATATATATTGTGTTTAAAGAATGATAGACATGAGCTCTGATTATAGATTTCTTAGAAAGTTGAAAAACTCCTTCTTACCCCAGTCCAGGTATTCTTTCACACTGGCCTGTCATTCCAGCTATCAAATTGCTATGATGCATCATCACTCCCTTAGGGCGGCCAGTAGATCCACTAGTGTACATTACGATAGCCAAGTCTGAAGGAACTGGTCTATTTGGAGGGATGCTTGCTAAATGAATCAAAAGGCACCACATTTTCTTTAGTTTAAAAGTTAAATTACTGAACAAAGATAATACATTTGGATTTTGGCATAATGATATACTATTTAAAACCAAGACTCTATTGATCATCAAAGCAAAAATGGTTATCACATTCTGGTTAATGGCAATGAGGATTTCAAACTCAATTTGGCCCAGTTTCTAGATGTTTATAGCCTACTCTCTTCTCTGTCATGCTCTCCCCAGCATTTTATACATATATCAGTCTGTGGAAAGATCTCTTGAACTTTGGAGAATCAGGAAGATACTCAGATCTCAGTTGTCTCATCTTGGAAATGAGACAGCTGAACTAGATTACGGTTCTTAACCAATGGTGGGCATCAGAATCACCTGCGGAGCTTAAATAAAATCCTATTCCTGGATGCTGCCTCTCAAAATTCTGATTCAGTATGTCTGAGGATGGATCAAGGACTGCACAGGTGACTCTTACACACATCACCCCTGATTGAAAACCACTGGACCAGCTCTCTGACGTAACCTCAACTTTAAAATTAAGCTTTCACTTTCTAGAGAGTGTATTGTGTTATCCTCAGCAAACGCCTTTCCTTCCCAGGATACATTAAAATGACTAAAAATCCACAAATATAGTAGCAGAATTAAATAAAAGCTTAACAAGATTGCTGGGTAAAATAACTGTTTCCAAAACAAATTGATTTTAATATACAAAACATTTAAGATAAACATTTTAAAGTGCACTATTTACCACTGAAATGACCTAGTAAAGAAGAAGATACATGCAAATAGTTGTATTTAAATTGGCTAGATCTAATGCTTCTTAAGGGAGCTCTGGTAGCATAGTGCCTAAGGCACTTGACTGCTAACCAGAAGGCTGGCGGTTCAAACCCACCAGCCACTCCTCGGGAAGGAGGGTTGAGCAATCCACTTCCATAGTGATACTGCCTCAGAAACCCAAGGAGGGGTTGCTATGAGTCGGGTCCGACTTCACGGCACGTAACAACAACAATGCTTCTTAAAGATATCCACTATCATCATTTATAAACCAAGGAAATAGTATACCTCCTCTGAGGACTAATCAAAGCAGTGGCAGTAGATAGGTTAAGCTCTTCCCAGTCTAAGCTTACAATGGGACCTTTGGCTTCTGTTCCTTTTTTAGATAAACATGTGGAAAAGTGTCATCATAATAAATGTCTACTCAAGTAAACCAAACAAACAAAAAAAAAACCAAACCCCACTCCCATTGAGTCAATTCCGACTCATAGGGACCCCCATTGTGTTTCCAAGGCTGTAAATCTTTAAGGAAATTGAGTGCCTCATCTTCCTCCCACAGAGTAGCTGGTTAGGTGGATTTGAACTGCCGACCTTGGGGTTAGCATGTGAATGCCTTACCCACTATGCCACCAGAGATCCTTACTCAAGTAAAGTACCACAAAATATATTATGTATTCTCTCTACTATAGAGATGAGTGGAACTAGGTGGAACACATGTTCTACCATGTTGTTGCTCACACAAAATCATGAGGGCCACTAAGCCCTTAGTTTTCTGCCAACATCCTTTGGTGAAACATCAGAATTAGCAACAGATTCCCACTAACCAGGACCTCCCAGTCAAGTTTTCCCCAATCTTGCAGGGTCAACCTGGAGTTGGGAGGCAACTCTCCACAATTCTCTTGCATTTCTGCATATTGTTCAAGCAGAGGCACTGACTGCCCCTTTGCTCTGGACTACCTTTTCAAGGATATTTGCATAGCCTGGGAAAAGAGAAATAGTGTCTCCCTCCAAACAAATGAGTAGGCATGTTTACTATCCATTATAAGAGCTTAGGGTTCTGTAAGCTCAGGGTTCCTCTCCTGTTACACACCCCACTGTGTGCACAGGTATTACCTAGCCCTCTTTACACTGATCTGTAGAAACTGGGGTGCAGTGAGGAAACAAAAATGTTGATACTCTGGCTACTGCTATTGCTTTGAGTAAGAAACTGTCCTTCATCTCTGATCCAGGAGTCTTGTGTCTCCCCAAAACTGTGGCAGGCTCACTTGCTAGCTTAGAAGTAGGGTAAAATCTCAGACTCTTTTCAATTCTTGACACCTAGCTGAGAGCTCTATCTATATCTGTTATTGGCAACAGATGTTCAGTCTCTAAATTATTCAGAAGCTGAACAGACTTTCAATCAACAGATTCTCCTGCCAAGATAAATCCTTTCTCATCACCAAACTCATTGCCATCGAGTTAATTCCAACTCATAGCAACCTCCTTTGGGTTTCCAAGCTGGTAAATTTTTATGAGTAAAGTAGGTTGCCCAGTCTTCCTTCTGTGGAGTGGCTGGTGGGTTTGAACCACCAGCTTTCTGGTTAGTAGTCAAATAGCTTAGGTACTACATAACCAGAGCTCCTTTTTCCTCATCTAGTAGGGTATCTTGCCATTCATATTAACATGAGAAGGGAACTATTCAAATAAAGTATTATATCCTCAAACCTCTGTCCTGACGACCAACTTTGCTGCAAGATGCTTTTATACTTGTTTCAACTGAAATACCTTCTACTAAATCAGTGGTAGAATAAATCCAAACATGAAACTTGGTAACCAGGTTTGCATCCTTTGAAACATCATTAAGATCTTTTCCCTACATAAGGCTCAAATGGATGCTTATAGTAGGCTATTTATAAAGAAAAGTTTGGCAGTATCTACCATCAAGCCTGAACTACTAAGTACATCTCAACTATGAAGTAAATTTTAAACTGTGGTCACGTTGTTGAAGATAAAGAGGGGGGAAAAGAGGTCATCATACACGGTCTTGATAGTTTTATCAACATTTAAAAATTTAAAAAAATTCAAAGAACTTAAGAGTGTTCAGTTGGGTCACTTTTTCTAACCTACCAAAAGATTAACTTGGAATAAATTAATAAAGTCACTTTAACTGCTTTACTTACAGTTTTCCAGCTTGGATCCCAACTCTTCTACTGATTGCATGCTGTGAATCTCAAATCCTTCAGGGTATTCTGCTCTACTGATAGTCTTGTTGTCCACATAAATGATATGTTTAACACAGTTGATATCCAACAATGCCGTCTGTTGAACAGAAAGAGAATCCAGCTAGTAAATTTCGATCTATAATAAAAACTACATTGTTGAACCAAAGGGTATTTTTCTTTCCTTCCAGATAGCACTACCATGAATTAAAAGAAGTACACTTCATACTTACCTTAAGTTTACTTTCTAGAAGTTCAACACTAGTAATCAGATAGGAAGCCTCAGATTCATTTAGTCCATGAACTACTGCTTCTTTGCCAAGCGTAGCATATAGAGTCACAACTATGTAAGCAAAAAGGAACACAAAAAGTAAAGGATATTTTTTAGAATGACATATAATACAGCTTTTAATGATAGATACACTCAAACAAAAAAAACATTCTGTGATTTAATTTTATTTCATAGTCTTTGCCCTTACCCTTCAAACTTCCCTCCAATACTCTGTTAGCACAAAATTATCCTTACAAAGCCCCAGGATTCTGTCTACACCAAGAGAAACCCAGAAATATTGAAGTGCCACAACTAGTCAAACATTAACCAATTAAGATTCTCAAGGCCAAGAGGTTCTAGCTGAACTCTTAATTTGAGTCAGAGTTAGCCCAGCTAGGGTTCCCTTATGGCACCTACTTTATTGGTCATAGTCCTGAAGAATGGATAAGTCCTTGAAAATTCTCAAATTTTGAGGATTTCAAGTTAGGAGATCAGCTGTGAATCATGTTCTATTCTTTCAAGCAGCTTTTAAAAATTGTGGTGAATATATACATACATACATATACATATATACATACATACATATAGGAGCTCTGGTAGC